AATGAAAATTTAGGAAAATATTGTTTAAATATTGCATTATTATATGGAAATTGACTGAATAAACTAACACTATCTGTATCGCCAAAAAAAATTCTTAAAAACATGCCTTTTTTTCACCGAATAAACCTTACCCCCCACCCCCCTTAACGAAGTAAAAGAATTTTACATTTTGAAAATTAATTCTATCAATTGTAAGTGTTGTTTTATTAAATGTATTTCGATTCTCTAATATATTTTACAAGAATGTTTAGTGTGTATTTTCTCGCTTCTGGTCATAATCTGAGATAGTAGTGATAAATGAACAAGAATTTTAAGAACACAACAATATGCGTGGGGAATGATATTTTAAAGATTGATAAGATTGATAAAGTAGCCAGATTGATAGGAATTCTGAAAAAAAACTTGACAATCTGTATAATAAAAATAATTGAAAAAATAAGATTTTGCTTATGAAAATTTTTGTCGTCTTATTCTTTATTACTATTTCGTATTTACTTATTATTTCTTTCTCGAAAAGAAAGAGAAGAAAGGATTAATTTATACAAGTGAAAGAGAAAAGATACGAGACAGATAATATTTATTTGTAAATTCATAAGGTAATTACAAATTTAGAAATAAAAACAATTAGTATGATATGAATGTACAATTCTATTCTATAAATTTGGAAAGCATACAATCCCTAATCATATTATTATTGTAGACGCAAATCATATTCATTATAATTTATTGATTTTCAAGAATCAGATTTATATATTATATTGATCCATTTATCATTGTAATCGATTAAAATATTGTTAAAATGAGAAAAATTATCTATAAAATAGATGCATTTGTTTTGATTCATTTAACTTACAATGTAATTCATTACAATGTCTATGGTTTATTTCAACGGTCTTATTGAACTTATAGGGATGACAGGAAAGCACACGTTATTTTTGTTTTCTTACAGAAATCTTGTTTTATTTATAGAGAAAATTTAAATTTGAACATTATTATTAGAATCAAATAGTAGCTTAACAAAATAAAAAATATAATATGTATATCATATTTATAATAATTAATATATTTTATTTTATAAAATAAATATTTAATGATAACTACTATAAAACATTGTTTTTATTAATTGAGAATAAAAATAATTGTAATTTTCGGTTACTTAAAATAAGTCCATCTAAAAATCCTAATGTATAATAAGTAATCCTAATGATATAGTATATCAGGAATTGTTAATAACTTAGAACATATATTACATGTTCCAAGATTAATAACGATAGTAACGAGAAGAAATGATTCGTGCTGTTATATATACAAAATACATTCCATTTCGTAAATTAATGATCATTCTATTCGCATTCATGTTACAATTATTTTCGCATAACACGCATCAATTCGTAATTTAAATGAGGACGAGTGTCGCCTTTTCTGCGTGTTTGCAAGTTCAAATTTTTACAATTTGCATTTGAATTTTTGAAGAAAGTCGAATAAGGACATCGTTGATCGTCATAACTTGTTAATATCTCATTGTCAATATTGTATATTGTTGCATATATATGTATATGTGTGTATATATATATATGATAGTTTCAACGCGTCGGACAGAAGAATAAGATAGAATGTGAAATACGCTCTGTGATTAATCACGAGTTTTATATCTTTATTATTATTTCACGAAGAGAAATCGAGCTCGCATTCTTTTTTTGGTTTAGCATATGTAGATAATTTAAATCGTCGCGCGTGCTAGCTTACATCGAGTAGAAATTTAATGAAAAATCTGGACATGATATAATACCTACATCTCGTCAGTAATGTACAATTTCATCAAATAAATTTCACGCGATCGTAGTGGATAGTGGGATTAGCTCCATCATAAATTTCTTGCAATCGTAGGCACGCCATGGTTACATTCTCGACCGACGGATAGCGCTTGCAGTTCCATTGGTCGCATGAGCGCGGTAATTATTTCCCGAAACACAAGGTATAGTATAGTAAGCAGGTGATGTTGAAGGTTGAACTTGCATGAAGTCGATAAAATAGACTTTTCAGTGGTTATCTTTGATCGATAAATATATCGCGGCAATTCTGCAATAGTGTCATATCTCGAAAAATGACAATTTTGAGTTATTCATTGCAGGAAAAGATGGATTTTGGCGTATACTTTTATCTGGTGATGAACTCAAAATTGTCAATTTTCGAGATATGACACCCCAGACAGCACACGATATTCATAGAATGTCTATAGGACGTTCTAAAAACATTTGTACATCCTTAGAATGTTCTATGGACGTACTGAGATCTGTGCTATTTGAGATATTGCAGCAATGCCGCGATATACACTTCAAGATATATTATGTTTTAAATAACACATTTCGTTAAAGATTGATTTAATTTAAGAGACAAGTACAATAATTATTCACGAAATAATTATAAATTAAAAATGGGAATAAATAGAAATCTCTGTTCCGCAAGAAAATCTTTGGAAGAAACATATTGATAACAATTATAATGATTCTCGTGCTGTTATTATAATTAATAATATATACCATAGTATCACACCACATTTCACTAAATTGTTATAATTATAATAAAATTAATGAACTCTCGAAATTGTCAAATAATTAAAAAAAAACCATTTATATACACTACCAAACTGTTTTATGCTTATGATAACACTACCAAATTGTTTTGCGCTTTACTTACCGCGCTATAACTCCCATTAGCCTTGGTTCTTTCTTTTATTATTTTGTTATAATTATGATTGCATTTGCGTTAGGATTATTTGTCGACAATAGTAATTAATCGATGTTAGGCCGTGACTCAAAACAGCTACTATGATTCAATATAAGTGAGTTATACAGATTCCACGATACTATATGCGCGGGAGAATGATCTTTACGTTCTTCTGAGGGAACCAAAGCGCGATTGGCGATTTGGTGTT